CTCCAGTGATGCTTCATTAAAGGACTCCAGTGATGCTTCATCAAAGGACTGCAATGCTGTTCCATCCAAGGACTCCATTGAAATAGCTAGAAAGGATTCCACTGAAGTTTTGTCAATGGACTCTGGTGAAGTTTCAGTGAAAGACTCCAGTGAAATTTCAGTAAAGAACTCTAACATAATGTCAGCAGAGGATTCTTTAAGAAACTCAATTGAAAAGCCAGTGAAAGATCTTACTATCATTCCATCAGAGGAAGCCCACGAAGTTCCAGTGATTGCCTCAGGTGAAGTTGCAAGAACTGACTCAAATGAAACTGTTTTACCAAAGCAGTCTGGCGATATCCTTAAAGATACTAATGACACTAAGAGCAACATTCCAGCTGTAGACTCTAGTGAAGTTGTATCGGTGACACCCAGTGAGTTACGAGCAATAGGCTTCAGTGATGTTTCATTAGGTAATACCAGTAAGATTTCATCAGCAGATTCTAGTGAAGTTCCAGAGGATGACAGTAATACAAGGAAGAATAACAAGGAGATCAAGAATTCCAGTGAAGTTACAGCAGTGAATTCCGGTGAAGTTCTTGTGAAACACCTCAGAGAGACGTCAGACGAGGATGATAATGAAGCCTGGGTGGGTAACTTGGGGGTAGTTACAGAAGTTGCCAGTGTTGCTGATGTTGCTAAAGTTGTTGCAGAATGTCATCTGAAGGGTTGCAGGGAAGCTACATTTGATTCTAGCAAAGCTTCGCAACTGGATGTAGTAGCGAAAGACAATGATGAAGTGTTAGTGAACAGCCCAAGGAAAGCCCCAGAGAAAGACATGACGAGAGTGTCTCTGTCAGGTGTCTCTGCACCAGGTCTGAATGAAGGAGATGAGATTGCCAGTGTGATTGCCTTGTCAGTATCAGCCATGGAAACAGAAAAAGATACCCCAGCGAAGTCTGGTGAAGCTTCAGACAAAGAAAGTTCTTCTAATAAAAGTCAAGATCATGACAGTTCCTCTCTAACATCTGTAGAGGAATCTAGTAAGTTATTATCTAAAGATTCCAGTAAAATGTCTCCATGCAAGGATACAGGACTAGTATCATCAGATAGTTCTGTTGATGTATCTTTAGTGGATTGTAGCAAAACACCCTTGGAAAAATCCAGTAAGAATTCACCCAATGATTCCTGTAAAGAGTTGCCTCAGGATTGTGACTTCAATGAACCTGAGACTGCTAGTAAAACCACAAGTGAAAAGGTAACCAAACATTCCAGTGAAAGTTCTACTGATAACTTGAAAGAAATGCTGCCCAAAGATTCTGAATTTTCTTCAAAGAGCAGTTCTAAAGAACCAACCAGAGACTGTTTTCAAGTACCATCCAAAGTGGCAGCTGAAGAGTCCAGTCAGATGATATACAAAGACAGCTCTTTACCATCATCTAAGGCATCTTGTGAAGAAGATAATGACACCACTGAAATTCCAAGCAAGTTGTCTTCTGGAATGTCAATAAAAGACTCCACTCAAACAGTAATGGAATCTGAAGTATCAACAAAGGATGCCACTCAGCCACCAACAAAAGATTCTCCTGAAATATCAGTAGAGGAGTCTTCTGAAATATCAGCAAAAGATTCTGCTGAAGCACCAATTGTGGGGCTTCAGAAATCAGAAAAGAACTCAGCTGAAGTAACAACTACAGAGTCTCATTTATCCACAAAGGAAACTGCTGAAGTGGCAGTGAAGAAGCATCAAGTATCAGCAACAGACTCTCTCAAAGAATCGACTGAGGAAGCTCAAATAACAAATAAAGACTCCAATCTAATACCATCTATGGATTCTCCTCAGGAATCAGCAAAGGGGTCTCCTCAAATACCAAAGGAGTCAACTCAGTTACCAGCAAAGGAGTCTCCAGTATCAGCAACTGACTCCACTCCAGTACCAACTAAGGACTCTTCTCAGTCATCAAAAGAGGAAATATTACATAATTCACCCAAGAAATCTCAGAATGAAGGAGAAAGCTTAGCTTCAGTTTGCACATCAGAAGCTTTGGACCATCAATTGGTTGAAGATACTATTCAGAAGAATGTGAATGATAAAAATACTTGTAACTCAATTAAAGATACTACTATACCATCCACTGAGAGTAATTCACAAGATGTTGCTGAGTTAGATGAACATAGTTCAGTTAGCAAAGATAAAGAAGAAAATGAAGATCCAAAATCTTTATCACTACGAGTGTCAATTTCAAGATCATTTGTTAAAATTCCCGATCCTGATGAGGAGAATGTGGAAGATGATTTGACAGACAGTAATATTTGTAGTAGATCAACAGCTAATGTGTCCAGTTGTCCCAATGCTAGCATATCACCTACCAATATCAGTTCAGCAGAAAGTAACCAAAAATTATTAGAGGATAATCAGATTGACAACAAAATCAAATCCACAAAGACGATAAGTGAGACTACAAAGAAAGATTCAGAAGTGTCATGTTTAGGAATAAATGAAACCTTACCAGAACCGAGGAAGAGTAAAGATGTGCTAGAGAGCATAGAAACTGAGAAGTTGGCAGCAGCTGTTGCTAAAATTTCCACTAAGAGTACCCCTGCTGCAAGAGATGTCATCCCAGAAGCAGACCTAAAACATCTAAAGTCTGCTTCAAGCAGAGAATCATCAGGAACCAAGAAATCAAAATCACAGGAGTCCAGCAGGAAGAAAAAGGATAAAAGTACTACTTCAAGCAGTCATGAAAATAAAAGCAGAAGTGGGGGAAGTAAGAATGGAAACAGAGGAAAAGACTCAAGAAAAGAAAAAGTTAAGGCTGATATTCCAGCTAAAGGTAGCTTATCTGAGAAGCACAAAGATGATAGTAACACAAAAGGCAAGACATCTGGAGAGAAACATCCTGAAACATCTTTGGACACAAACAAGGCATGCAGTAATGATGCTCAACAGGTCAAGGAACAAGAACCTAAACAGCCTAAGAAACACAAGAGTGATATTAAAAACACTGAGAAAAAATCAGAGCCAAGTCAAAAGAGAGAGAGTAGCAATAATGGAAAAGATGGGATGGGAAAGGATGCAAAAGTAAATAGCAAGAGTTTAATCAATAAAGCTTTGCTAAGTTCATCATTGAAAGAAAAGTCATGCACTGATCAGAATAAGGATGATACTGTAGAGGGTACACTGACATTATTACAGAAAGGACCTGAAGACTCCATTCACACTCTAGAAGATTCAGCAAGTGGTCCAACATATCAACAACCTGACTTACCAGCTTGTCAGTTGGAAAAGAAAGGTAATGCTAAAAAGGATGTACCATCTAGTGGAAGCACTGACAACGATACCAGCAATAATACAATAACTAACCAGGAACAAGATGAGGGTAAATGCTCGGGAACAGACTCACCAAAGGCAGGGGAAACAAGTCCTAAGGTAAAGTTGGGTGATTCACTGAGAGAAAATGATAATAGGAAGACTGTGAACAATGCTGATATACATAAAACTGGTGATTTGAAACAAAACAAAGATAGGACTCCTGATAAAGAAAGAGTTCTGCCAAAGCCTGATACAGGGACAAAGTCACCTGAAAAGTTGACTCCTCCGAGGGAAAAATCTAAATCAGTCACTTTTGATGATCAAGTAAAGAAAGTTGCACCAGAGCAAGGAAAATTAAATAGTGCAGATAAAGAGAATGTGAAATCAAAGAAAAAGGATGACAAGCTTCAGAGGGAAAAAGAACATTCCTCTCCAACAGCTGAAAAAAAGAACACTCCCTCTGAAAGAAAAAACACTAGCCAGTCACCAGGCAGTGCAACAAAGAAGCGGTTAATTAGAGATGAGCGCAAGACTTCATTTGATCTAGAATTGGCAAAGATATTTGGAGAAACACGAAGTGAAGTTGTAAGTAAAAAGAAGAAAAAAGTAATACACAAGGTGAAAAAAGATTCCCTGGGGAAAGTCAAGAAACTTCACAAAACTACTAATCAAGGATGCAGAGAGAAAGATAAACCAAGCTCAAAGGCTCCTCTACAAAAAGAAAACAAGCAGGCATCGTCAAGCTCAAATAAAGAGTGCAGTAATGAAATTGTTGCTTCAGAAAATAATAAGAGTGTGGTCATTGTTGATGAGAAAGAACACAGCGTCAAAACATCGGAAGGTAAAGTAAAGCAGCATAACAATGAACAGGATAGTCCCAAAGCAGCTGAGAGCAAAGTTCAACAGCAAAGTGCCACATCCCATGAAAACAAAGAACAGCAGTGTAGTGCTAATACCTCAGAAGACAAACTCCAACAGCAAAGTGTCAAAACATCTGATGGCAAAGAACAGAAGCATAGTGCTAAAAATTCTGAAGGCAAAGTTCAGCAGCATGGTGTCAAAGTATCTGAAAGCAAAATTCAGCAGCATGGTGTCAAAGTATCTGAAAGCAAAATTCAACAGCATAGTCTAAAGACACTTGAAGGGAAAATTCATATTACCAAAACATCAGAAGTTAAAGAGAGGCCAAGTACCAAATTATCAGATGTTAAAGAAAAGCAAAGTACCAAAGCATCAGAAGTTAAAGAAAAGCCAGTTACCAAAACATCTGAAGGTAAAGAAAAACAAAGTACCAAAACATCGGAAGTTAAAGGAAAGCAAAGTACCAAAGCATCAGAAGGTAAAGAAAGGCCAGGTACCAAAACATCAGAAGGTAAAGAAAAGCCAAGTACCAAAACATCAGAAGTTAAGGATAGGCCAAATACCAAAACATCTGAGATTAAAGAAAAGCAAAGTACCAAAGCAACAGAAGGTAAAGAGAGACCAAGTACCAAAACATCTGAGAATAAAGAAAAGCAAAGTACCAAAACATCAGAGGTTAAAGAGAAGGAAAGTTTCAAAACATCTGAAGGTAAAGAAAAGAAAAGTGCCAAAACAAATGAAGGCAAAGTGCAACACCATGATCTTAAAACAGTTGATGATAAGGAACAAACAGAAGCCACCACAGCAAATTCAGGCAGGGAAATTGGTGTAAAGGATTCAATTACTGAGAATAATGATCATACTGAGTTACAAGGCTCTAAGAATAATGAGGCACAAATCAAGAATACTACCCCAAAAGATACAGTAGAAGAAGTGATATCCAATAAAGAAAAAGCAAAAACAGCAGATGAAAACCTAGGGGAAACAAATGTAGAATGTTTAGAAGGCAAAATTTTACTCATCACAAGGAACGCCAGTAAAGTAGACCTCAGCAAGAAACATGTGAGCCGCTGGGATGTTGTTAACAAGGTGGAGAAAGGGGAAAAAGTTCAGCCGGTGCCAGATCGAAGTTGTGCAACCACTACCAAAAAGAGGAGCCGATGGGATCAGATGGTAAAGGAAAGCAGTAGATGTGTACCAAAAGAACCAGATAGTAAAGAAAGTGTGAGTGAGGAGGATGAGAAGGGCAAGGCAAAAGACAAGATCGTAGATGTGAAAGAAGATTGTCCGGAATCTGCAGATACACTGGATGAGTCTGTGCTCATTTCTAAGAAATTAAAGGGGGCTGAACCATATGCTGACAAGAATAAGAAGCTTCAGAAGACCCTTAATGATTTATTTTACGAAGAAACTCCAGCTGGGAATGATGGGGACCAGACATCAACAGCCTCAGATCAACAAAAAAAATCAAAACCCAAATTAAGAAAAACTTTAACAGATCTTTTTGGTAATTTATCTTCATCCTTCTGTGATGATGAAGAAGAAGATGAGGAATATGAGCCTAGTGCTGACTTCCAGAATAAACGTGGAACACTGAATAGCACAGACAGTCTGCCAGAAGTAGATGGAGAAGGAGAGTATGAACCAAAATCAATTAGCAAAATTACTACAGTCGAAGAATATGATCCAAAATTTTCACAAAAAAGTTCACTGAAACCAGCTTATGAGCCAAAGTCAACATCAAAACCAGTTTCAGAGACTGAGTATGAACCACAACCAATATCAGCAGTTGCCAACAAACCAGAATACACTCCAAAACCAATTAACACAGATAGTGCAAAAACTGAGTATGAGCCCAAACCTATTTCAAAAGCTCTCCCAAAGCCTGAGTACAAACCCATGTCTGTGTCCAAGAGTTCATCTTCAAAGAAAAGCCCTGAAAATGCCTCAAAGACAGCTGCTGAGAAACGAAGTGACAGTGGAGGATTGGCAGCACCAAAACCTGATTCAAAGCCGAAGCCTGGGTGTGACTCGCATTCTACAAGAACGGCAAAATCTGATGATAGTTCTAAGACCTCAAAGGGGGAATCAAAAATGTCTGACTCAAAATCCTCAAAGAACTCAGATACTGAGGACCTGAAGACTCCTAAAGGGAATTCAGACTTAGAACAGGTTCTGAAAGCACTAAAAACTATATCAAAGATAGACCAAGATTCAAAATCTAAGCCATCATCAAAATCAGAACAAGATTCAAAATCTAAGACATCATCAAAATCAGAACAAGATTCAAAATCCAAACCTACATCAAAATTGGAACATGATTCAAAATTGAAATCAAAATCAAAATCAGACCTGTCTTCAAAATCAGCAAAAGACTCAAGATCAAAGTCAGAAAAAGATTCCAGACCATCCAAAGGGAGTTCCAGGTCAGAACATGAATCGAGACACAGCTCCTCAAAGAGAAAATCAGATACAAGGCCTGAACCATCGAAGAAAGCTGCACGAGCAGATGAATCCTCGCAGACTTCAAAAAAGCCCTCAAAAGATGAACGTGATTCTAAGTGTGTGAAGGAGGCATCAAAATCTCACTCTGACTCAAAATCCAAAAGTGTGTCCAATTCTGAATGTAATTTAAAGTCCACAAAAAGTAATGTTAAGTCTGAGGTTGATGGAAAGATGCCAAAGGCTTCTGACCCAAAGTCCTCAAGAGACATGTCAAAAACAGCTCATTCAAAGCATTCAAAACCCTCATCAAAATCAGATTCCAGCTCAAAATCTTCAAAAGATTCCAGAAGACCAGAAAGTGAACCAAAATCTAAAGGGGTATCCAAGGGAGAAAATGCATCTGCAAACACCAAAGAGCAAATGAAATCAGAGAGTGGAAAATCATCAAAAATGGTATCAAAAGATCCATCCAAGCCAGCAAAATATCAGGTGGATTTAAGTGAAACTGTCTCTAGAGAGTTACCATTATCAGACAAAGATTCCAAATCATCTAAAAGAACAGGCTCAGATCAGTTGAAAAAGTCCAATAAAGAAGTTAAAACATCCAAGGAGCCCAACCAGACCTCTGTGGCAAAAGAGAGTTCAAGTTCTCAGACATCTTTGGAAGTAAAATCATCTAAAAAGTTGTTAAGTCCTGCCTCAAAAGAAACCATGAGTACAGAAAGAGGTCAGCCATCAGGAGTTGCAGCAGCCAAACCAGAGGAAGAAATGAAATTCAAAGACTCATCAAAATCAGAAAAACACAAAAAAGTTAGTTCAGTTGTACCTTTGTCAGAGTCTGACTCTTCATCCAAAAAAGATCCTTCAAAATCAAGCCAGAATGCTGTGCTCTCAGAGAACATCAAATCAAAAGGAGAGCAAGATATGAAGAACAGCAACCGAACATCTGCAAATTCCCAAAGTAAAGGTAAGAAAGATGACGATCAGTATGTACCAAAAGCAATCTCAAGTGAAAAACGAGCCAAGTACATTCCTCAGGCACTGACATTACCAACCAGTAACATAATTGAAGAGGATGAATACAGTCCCCTCCCAGTTGGGCTTGATAAACCAACACCAGAGTACATTCCAAGTGATATCTCTGAGAAGTCTAAACATTTACTGCAAGAAGAGGAATATGTCCCACAGCCAGCTAAAGTTATACCTTATGGAGCTGGTGGTTCATCAACACCTAAGGACACTAACAAGGAAACACTGGATCCACAATCTAACCAGCAGCTAGTAGTCACTCACAGCATTGACAAAGTTATCCCAGGGTTTTATCGTGAGCAGGAGGGTGGTGATAGTAGCCAAGGCAACAAAGATGCAAACTCAGGGAAGGATCCGTCTGGCAGTGGATCCTCAAAAAAGAATGGGGCTAGAAAACTAAAGACAAAAGTGCCTGGGCCCGGTGCAGCTTCAGGTGGTTCAAAAGTACTAGTGTATGTTCCACCACCACCAACCTATGAACATATTGTGAACACCCTAGCAAATTACGATATTCCTGAAGTAGTCCATCCAACTGCATTTTGTAGCAATCCAACTGATGTACCCCCAAAGAGTTTGGAAATAGGAGGCAAAGTTCTTAAACTGCAGACAACAATGACATCAGATTTAGGTGACTTTGAGGGCCGTTTTCAAGAGGATGGGCTTTATAATTGGAGGTTGCTTTTGAATACTTTAAATTCAGAAGTGTCGGCACAAGTCGTTCATGATCCATGTATGATGAAGACTCAGGGTAGTGCTAAGTCTGCAGTACTAACGCCACTGAGAACTCCACCATCACCAGCAGATGTGACAAAGTGGCTAAAAGCAAGGAAGATCATTAAGACAATTAATGAGGGGAAAGGCGATGAAAGTGATGATGATGAAAACGATGATGATCCATCATCTTCTTCAAGAGATAAGCAGAGGAAATCAGAGGATAATGTTGGTAGTTCTTCATCAGATAAAGGGACCTCTGTAAAAGAAACAACACAAAGCGAGTCATCTGGTGAGAAGACAAAAAGTCTATCCAAAAAGTGTGTAGAAAATGTTATATTTAGCACCAGCACACCCCAGTCACAGAAGTTCTCAGGCCTTAAATCACTGCAGCTAACACCTATAGGAAAGACCAGAACAGCAGAAGAAAGTGCTGTAGTGGGAAAGAATCCGTCAGCAGTATCAGGCCAGAGGAGCACGAAACGTAGAGTGTCATGGGAAAATGATGTGCCACTCACAACAGTTGCGACCGAACCCAAGAGGAGACGAGTTTCTTTTGAAGGAATGTCTGACACAGACCTAGGTGTTCAGAGGCTAGACCGCGATGGAAGTCAAAAGAAGGATAAGTTTGGTAGTCTTGAATTGGTTCCAGAGGAAATACAAGAGGCTACAGACGCAAATATGCCACCAAAGCAACATCAGCCAGAAGGATCAACCCTTGCTACTACCAGTGAAACTTCAGGTCCTGGAATGAAGAAAGGGGATCACTTTCAAGGTACAGTCATGGCCTAGTCCTGTTCATTTTATACTCTTGCTTTAATATCCAATCCATATAGGTGAAATGTAATTTAAGGATTTCAGCCAGAAGATGAAGATAAACTAGATATCTTTATAAAGGAGTCCCTAACATTCCAGGTGGAACACAACAGTCAGAGAAGAACAAATCTCCCCAGATGTCAGAGGTGAGAGCAGACCCTTCACTTTCTGACACTGAGGACTTCATTGACAGTTCTCAGCCTCATGTGTCACTTACTCCATCTGTCCCATCAAAGGTAAGGGTTGTAGAAGTTAGTGAAGATTAAAAGTATTGGGAGTTTATATGTTTCTGTGTAATTTGTTGTTTGATTATTTAAATCCCTTGAAAGTTAATATTGAGCTGTATGTAAATATCTTCAGGTTTGTTGTAATGATGCATGAATCATAGCAAAAAATGGATGCTGTAATGTAATTGTAAGATCATTCACAGATTGCAAGACAAGGTAGTCAGCTTAGCAGTGATTCCAGTCTTCGTAGACAACTAATGGACACACAATTTCGCCAGCAGTTTCTTAGCTTTTCTGAAGGACCAGCGTCATTATCACAGGTGACTGTTATTGTTAAGAATGTTTATGTGCATTGCTAAATTAGTTGATGAAGGGCACAATTTATACTATTTTACTTTTTTTATTTTATTCAGTGGTGAATGAATGCAATTGATATATAAGTACATTTAAAAAGAGTATACTATTACATTCATTATAAGTTGTCTTCACAAATATTAGACAGTTGAGTATTTGTATAACATTTTTTTCCCCACAGGGTATAGAAGGTCCAACTTTGAACAACACTTATGGGTTTAGATTCTCGACCCAAAACCTGCGTGAAGCAAAGGCACTCCATGAG